AACGTACATTTCGTTAACATCAATAATTCATCATTAAAGAATCATCGTAGAGTTGGAAAGGACCTTGGAGATCTTCTCTAGTTCAAACCCCTGCCAGGGCAGGAGACCTCATACCACCCGGGCAGATGGCTGTCCAATCTTTTCTTCAAAACCTGCAGCGATGGGGCACCTACAACATCGGGAGGCAAGCTGCTCCACTGCTTCATGGTTCTCCCCATCAGGAAATTCCTCATTTCCAGGTTGGGTCTCCCTCTGAGGAGTTCCCACCCCTTGGTTCTTGTCCTACCCTCAGGCGCAATGGAGAATAAATCGATGCCCACTTCCCTGTGGCAACCCTTCAGATATTGGAAGGCTGCTATCCTCCTTCTTTAAAAAGTGTACTGTATTTAGTTTGCAGTTCCACAAACCCTGAGGGTTCCACAAACACGGTGACACTGCTTTGCTGCTCTGCTCCCTTTTTGGCTGCAGATTGCAGAATCACCCAGTGGAATTTTATAGATGCGATACCACCAAAAGACACAAGATGGCAATGAGAAGCCACAAGTATATGGTAGGCAATCATTTATCCTACTAACAAACAAAACAGTTCTCTCTCTCTCTTTGTCTGTTGCAGTTTCCCCTTCAGGCTGACCACCTCTTGGATCAGACCATTCAAGCCCTCTGACACGGACATGTGTAATCTCAATCCCCACCTTCAAGCAAAAGTTAAATAAATGGAGTGCATGCATGTGAGTGAAGATTATGGGGACCTGTAAAATCATGGAATGCCCAGAGAGTAATTTCCTACGTTTTGCCTATTAATAATATTAAATTCTGCAAAAAACTGAGGGGAAGTTGTGCTTCTGTAGCTACAGTTCAAATAGCCAGGAAATGGTCCAATATTGCTGCACAATATCGTGCCCGCGTTGCCAGCAGGAAAAAGGATGCCAAGCTTTACAGAGCAAAGGGCAGCATGAATGATGACAACACTCAAGGCAGCCGTCCAGATGGTCTTCTACAGGATACTACTTGCACCACTGCAAAGCCATGCACTGGAGGATCACATGGCAGCCATCCAGATGGTCTTCTACAGGATACCACTGCACCACTGCAAAGCCATGCACTGGAGGATCCATGTTTTATTTAGTGTGGACTGTGGGTACAAATAGCATCTATGATATAAACTTGGTTTAGGGAGGATAACATCTAAAAATCATATGAAATCATGTGGGCCCATAAACTTATGAGTAAACTTACTTATGAGTAAACTAGGTAAACTTAACTCATGAGTAAACCAGGTAAAATGTGTTTTGAGATCATTCAAAGCCACCAAGAGAGAAAACAGTAATTTCTCAACTTAAATGAGTGAGCTGCTGTATATTATTTCTTTTAAAGATAAGATTTTAGAATATTTCCATAGGCAGGAGTTCAGCATGTGTGGCCAGGAAGGAGTTACATGCATTCTTTCACACTGAAGGCCATGGCAGGGTTAAAAGTGACAGACCCCTACCCTGTGGGCGGACTGGAGGCCCATTCTGAATGGCCAGAATGCTATGCCATGCAAATAGTTCCTTTGGAATTCTCAGAACCATTCTGATGGGCCAGAATGCTCTGCCATGCAAATACTGTAGTTCCTTTGGAATTCTCAGAAGTTATTTTAAAAAGGAGCAATTTCCTAAGTTTTAGGGGTGAACAAACAGTAATTAAACAGTCTGAACTGGAGCAATGATTGCCACAATTCCTGTGGTTGAAAGAAAAGAGCTTTTGGCCTTAGATTCTAAAACATGCATTTCCAAGCACAATTAAACAACAACAAAATAACCCTGCATCTTTGTATCTACGTTGTCCTTAGACTTTTCCACCAGGGAGCATTAGTGCAGTCCTCACAACTAATGCAGTACAAATTTCTAAGTACCCCACCAAACTTCAGATCCCAAGTTGCAGTAGGAGGGAGCGACAACAGTTTAAGTGGTATCAAACCGTCTTACCGTACAGTGTAGATACAGTAAACATCTGCATTGGTTCAAACTGAAGAAGCACAGGAATTTCTGTGATAAGTTTGCATGAACAACTAATTAGTAACCTGTGATTACTACTGTAAGGCTCTTACTGGAAGCTATTATTTCATAGCTGAAGTTTCAGTATATTGTGACAGTGTGAACAACAACAGGCCCGAAAGCAAGACTCTGCCATGGATATACGTAGGTATCGTCCTATCTTCCACTTACCATGTTCCGAGGGGAGACATCTCTGCACCAAAACCATTAAGTTTCTAGATTATGTTCTTTCCCTACCTCCATGGGGTTGGATTTTTTTTTGGGGGGGGGTACTCCCTCCACTTCTGCTTCCTGTGAAGAGTAGATCTCTTAATATTTTTCACTCTGTCTCACATTATGCCTCACTCATCTGCCCTCTAACAGCATAATATCCTTTCACATACATCTATCTAATCCTTTCCTCTATCCTGCAAATCTGATCATACAACTACAGTCCTCATGCAAGCCAAACTACCAATATTCTGAATTTTCATCTAGATGCAAATATAAACACTTGTCTTAATAGCCCTTCCAGATGTGAGCAAAGTGCCTCTGAAGAATAAAAGAAAAAGGAGCTACTGTAAATAAATTATGTTATTTCTCCAATAAACTGCTGCATGAAGCAATGCTGTTGCTTAAGAGATAAGAATCAGACTGTAGGGAATCCCTTGGAAGCAATGGCCCAGCAAGTATTTAAAAGACAGCAGAAGGATTAAGCCTCTCCATTCAATTCCCAGTGTTACTCCAGAGTTACATGCAGAGAGGCTTTGTTGATTTAACCAGGGTCTGACAACAGGATGATCCAAAATCCTCTTTTTAATATAGAACAGCCATTAGGGCATAAACATGAGGATGCTGCAGAAAGGAATATTAAGAAGCAAAGAAAAATGGCAAGACAGCTACCTAAGTTGATGGAATTGAACTTAATATTCACCACTCAATATGATCTTAGTACATAATAAATACCCTTTGTTTCCAATGTGCAATGCCATTCTTTATGTAGTTAAATTGGCATTATCTGTACAGAAGAAGAGGGAAGCCTCAGAAGTCTTGGGTGAAGCTTGAATGTTTGCAGAATTTGAAAAAGTGCACAGGAGGGGGGGGAAGGTGAGGACACAATGAAGGAAGGACAACACGGAACAGCGCAATACCTTCTTGTAGTGCTCATCAGCCAAATAATGCTGATTGATGGGGTAGGCAGGGATGGAGAACTGGATGGGGAATGAAATGGAGGAGGATGAGTGAATGGGAGTATTCCATGCTGTCACATTTTGTTGCAGATCTCACACGTAGCTTTGAAGTACCTGCTCAATATCCAGAACGCCATGTTCTAATTGCTCTTGTATAAGCAATAAACGGGAGCAATTGGAACATGTAGTTCCATGTACTTCACAAACAGCATTCATAAAGTTCTCCTATTGAACAGCCATCTGGAATATTTCACCTTCTTGCATTCTGATTTGCTTTTAGTCATTCTTGGCCCTGTGCCTCACCGCATACAATGCATAAATAAATACAAGAATGTTTATTAACAGATTTTAAAAAAATTGCTCTTCAGGCAAAAAGGATAAATTGTAAGGGCAAATCCGACAGTGGAACCAGTTACCTCTGGAGTTGGTGAGTGCTCCAACACTGGATGCATTCAAGAAAACCTGACAGATATGCTTTGATTATATTCCTGCATTGAGCAGGGGGTTGGACTTGATGGCCTTGTAGGCCCCTTCCAACTTCACTTTTCTATGATTCTATGAATCCCAAGTTTCGGTCTGAACTAGAGCCGCCCCAGTTAAATAAGTGGGACTTGCAAACACTGAAGTAATTTCCATAGATCGAATTAGTCCACTTTACTGAGGCTCCCAAACTGGATTTTGGCCTGTAAGAGATACATCCCAGCAACACTGCTGGAGAATTCTCTGTTTCCTAGAAAAAAAGTAAAGAGGTAATCAGGAAAGTTTTCTCTACCATCCTGCTTGCAATGAGTCACGGATTAAACTAGCTGCTCCAGGCATGACCAGGGTGCAATTCATGAACATGTATTGGACAAACATTCTCATCTTTTAGCTGTAATTTTTTTAAAGCTACATGCAGGTCATGCCAACCAAAGATCATGCAGTGCATGGGACAACTATCCTGCATAAAAGGAATCAAAAGAGCGGAAAGTGTATTCCTGAACTGCCTGTTACTGGAATAGGGCCTGCTCCAGCTCCTTCCAGGATGTTCCTGGGTGAAGAAAGTTGTAGTTTAAAACAGCAACACAGCCTGGCATTGGAAATGCAAGATTGTTGTTTCAACTAGCATTTTATATGGCATGTATTTCTGTTAGGTACGTTGAGAAATCAGTCTTATACATTGGACCAAGTATAGCTGTGTTTTTTTTAATCTTGTGAGAAATGAATGATAAGCTAGAACTGTTGAGAATCATTTTGGTTTATGATACTTCATTGGCTTAGGAAGAAGCCCAGTTGTCCCCAGGTTTGAAAAAAGAATTAATCATTCTTGGAGCAGGCCTACTGAAATCAATGGGAGAAATTAGTCTTGACTAACTTAAGTCCCATTAATTTCAATGGCACTTCAAGCAGGACTACATTGTGCAACCAACACCCTGTGGATGTAACACTATCTTTCGTTTCCTAAAAGAGCTTCTGGTTTGTTCAACCACTCTGCTGGCAGGTCAAGCTGACAGGAAAGAACTGGGCAGAATGTTCCATAAACTATAAGCCAGAATATTCAGAAATTCTGGTTTATTGTTTTTGCAAATGTAGCCTACATCAACATGGAAAACAGGAAAAACGTGAATGCTCTTGGTTATGGAGGGCAGGGAGGCAGTTAATTTTTTTTCTTCCAATAACTTCTCTTCCTTGTGTCAGAAGTAGGGAAGTGTGGCAAACATTATAGAAATAATATGCTTGCTTCTGAATATGTCCTGTAATAGTAACCCAATACTGGTCGCCTTTGTTGACATGAGGACAGCAAATTGAATACAGCTTTAGAACTGGAAAATACTTTTATTATAAAAATTAACAAAGTATCTATCTATTTATTTATTTGAATTAAAATACTTGTGCTTCACCTCTTTGTTTGTGAACAAAGGCAGCTTACATTAAAATCAAAGTTTAAATAAATGCATCTTCAGGCGCAAGAAACAAATTTAAAATTATGAGAGATTGTAAAATGGTGGTTAATCTCTATATAGTGAAATGCATTAAAACAATTAGACCACTCTCTCTTTCATAAGACTCAGTATTCCTCATTCCCAGGAACATCCACCCTGCTAAGCAATTTTACAGCTGAGTTCAAGTAAGTGCTTGCCAAGCAGGGCTTCACCCTTCTCCCTAGACAAGTATTCATTGAATAATGAAATTTCACAGAATGTGAGTCTATAAAAGGCGATGAAAAGATCCCAACAAAGAGTTCCATGAAATAGTAATTCACTCGCACACAAAAGGTTACGCATAAAAAACAAAGAGGAAATATATTCACAGCCGTTCCAGTGTGTGGACATTCCAGAGGGTTTGAGTTTCTGTTCCATCTTCTTGCAACTTCTCAGATCTGCAAAGCAGAACGTGATAAATCACTCTCGTTGCTCATTACTTTTGATATTTAGCTAGTAAGCTGCATGGAACTGCCTTTGGAGAGTGTCTGAACACTTCAGCTGGTTGGAAACATTACAACCAGGGAACTTGTCACTTACTTCCCTCAGTTGGCTGCCACTCCCTTGCAAAGCACCATTCAAAATGATGGTTATAAACCATAAAAGTTGTACACGACTTGGGTCCAGACTCATCTCCTGGGCATTAAGATCTACCGGAGGGGCCCTTCTCGTGGTACCACCACCTTCAGAGAGACATGTTCGGTGGAGATGTGAAGGCCTTCTCTGGGGCCTCTCCTTGGTGCTGTCACTCTTTGATCTAAGGCTAGGGTTGCCCCTCCTCCCCTGCTGTTCCTTCTCCAGCATGCAAAGACTTTTTTAAAAAATGTAGGCAAGCTTTCAGAAATGAGTATCCTTCTGACAATAAGATTTAGCTGAAGTGCTGATTTTGCTTTGTTTGAGCAAGCATTTTGAGTATTTTAATTATGAGGATTTGATGCACCCTATTTAGTTTTAACAGTATTTTAATACTACTGTGGCCAAAATCCTTTTGCATAAGTTTTTTTTTCCTCAGGAGATTTTTGGTTATTAAAGACTTCTGCCTCCTATCCTGCAGTTACCATGCCTTTCATGTAATGATATGGATTATTTGTGAACTGGGCAAGCCACAGGACAGAAGGAGGGCACCTTTAATTATCAAAAATTCTTCCCAGCTGGTAACCACCATTCTTGTAGGCTTAACTTACACACAAAACTTTTTTCCAATAGCTTTAACTCTATTTTAGTGTTTGTAACTTACTGTATTTTAATGCCACTATTTTCTATGTTTATGATATAAACTGCTTCTGGTCCCAATTCTGGGAGAAAGACTGCATATAAACAAATTAAATAACTAAATACTGTAAAAGAGCAGAATTTTCAAGTCTAGATTGCTGTCCATGTATAAAGCCAGGCGGGAGCTGAGAGAAGATCCAGTGGAAAGGAGAGGTAAGTGGGAATGCCAGGTTACCTACCTGTAACTGTAGTTGTTTGAGTGGACTTTTGTGATTCACACTATGGGTAATCTGCACATGCGTGGAGCCTCGCCGGAATATTCTAGCACTTCTGAGGTAGGGAAGGAAAATGCATTAGCATAGACCCCTCCCCCCCCCCGGTAAATGTACCTTGGCACCGCTGCTGAGGTAGGGAAGGAAAATACATTAGCATAGACCCCCCCCCCGGTAAATGTACCTTGGCACCAAGGCTCTCCCTTCAATTAGGTCAACCGCCGCATAAAGAAAAGGGCGTGACAGTGGGGAGGCCAGGTTGGGACCTGTGAATCACAGAGGTCCACTCAAAGGAACTACAATTACAGGTAAGTAACCTGTTCTTCTTCTTTGTGGCCTCTGTGAATCACACTCTGGGTGACTAATAAGCTGTCTTACCCGGAGGCAGGGTGTCACACCAAGGCCATGAAAAGGCCATGAACTGAGAAACAGTTTAGAAAAGGAAACAATGGAAAGGTGGGGATGGGACGCTTCGGCCTTAAGGCCGGAGTGTATCCTTTGAAAATAATAAGGATAATAATAAATAAATTTCAATAACTTTCCTTCTTTCATTTTCAGATTTCTCACAGAAGCAACAATTGAGGCTCTCAACGTGCGGTTGAAAGAAGCTGAAGGGAGAGCCTTGGCACCAAGGTACATATACCAGGGGGAAGGGTCTATGCTAATATATTTTCCTTTGCTACCGCAGAAGCTCTAGAATATTTCGACGAGGCTCCATGCATGCGCAGATTACCCATAGTGTAATTCACAGAGGCCACGAAGAAGAATCCAGTGATATGCCTTCTGCAATTGCCTCCTTCAACTATGTTCCATCCTTCCAGCCTGTCATCTGATGTTGACACTTCAGACTATTCACATGATTTAAAAAATCTTGCCTAAACAAATAGATTTCGTTTTTAAAGAAACCTCTTCCGCAAAGCCCAGTCTGGTCTGGCATCTTGGTACCAATTTCTTCTCAAATGTTCCACTCCTGGATGCTGTTGACAGCTTGGCACATTCTGGTTGGGGGTTTCCCATGACCTGTGATGGATGGCCGCTCGATAAAGGGCACGCTGGATTAGGAAGGCCTTTGTTCTGATCCAGATACACATATACGCATGTGAACAGTAATGGGGCAAGGAGAAGTGATGGCATTGCAGGGAAACTGGTGTAAGGATCCCATCGGGACACTGGGGCCCTACATGGCAGCTTCCCCTACAAAATAAAGGTGGCCACCTTAAGCACAGTTTTCAAGAAGAGCAAATAATGTAGTGTGTCATTTACCCCATATACTTAAGGCTTGCTGATATAATGCCCAGTGAGTGCAAGCGTTTCCCACACAGAGAGATCTGGGTATGTGGAAAGAACACAACTAGTCTCAGCTACTGCTACCTAAGGTACCACTCTGAGGTTCACTGAGTCATAGGCAAATGCCTTCATCTGCTCCAGAGGCCTCCTCAGGATGGTCCGCAGCTCTTCATAATCTGGCTTCTCCTCATATTCCAAGGGCATCACTTGCTGCAGGTAACTCCGGACAGCTTCTGCAAAGAGGATCCAGGATATCAGGGAGAATGATGGAATCCTATAAGGAAACCTTTCTAGTATTGCCAAATCCTTAGGCCCCTGCCCTGAAGGCTGTGTGGTTAATTATATATGCATGACAATAGGGCTCCCGTATCTGTGGGGAAGAAGTCCCAAGCCCCCACTGCGGAGGTGTGGAACCAGGGATTTTTAGTGAGTCCATTAACGAGAGAGAGAGGCAGGGGGGAGGGGCGAGAGGAGGAGGTAAGTGAGTGTGTGCACTGAGGGCTGGGTTGCAGCAGTGATGATCAGGTATACCTGCAACCATAGATATTGGTTCCACAGATAAGGAGATCCTACTGTAGCAACATTTATATGTTTCCTTTCTTACAAGCAGCCCAGGGAGCTTTTCTTTTCCACCATTCTTATAACAACCCTGTGATGTAGATCTGGGTAAAAAAGAATGACTACCCCGAGGCTACCCAGTGAATTTCACAGTTCAGGACAGGATACCTAGAATTTCGTTCTACTCACACTAGCTGTCTATTACAGGCTTTGAGGACCAAATACTAACTGCACTGAGAGGGTGTCCACACTGGCATAAAGATCGATATAAGGATCACTGATTTCATGGTTTGGATTTTAAAAAGAGAGAGACGGTGTCTGCACATACAGTATTTCTACTTAAATTGATTAATTGCAACAGTATAGCAAATGTTTAAAAATGCAATATGAAATAAAGGTAGCACTAAAAGTGTGGAGTGGTTCAAACAAAATGAATGTATTACTCTTTGTGCCACTAGACTTAAAAGACATCTGCTGGAAAATAGAGGTCTTTCTGCCCAATAAAATACAGGTAGCAATGAGGGCAGGCAAACTTTCTCAAGCAAGGGAGTGCTATCACAGAGAAGGGACCTTCTCTTGTGACTGTCTACTCTACTTCTAATGATGTGAGAATATAAGAAGAACTTCCACAGGTGGCCTGAATAACTCGGCTTTCAATAGCAGAGATGTAAAGGCTCCTTTTTACATCCTCCAGTATTGAGTTCCATAATTTGCAGATCACAACAAGCTGTTCCATAACACTGCGGGGTCACTGATACAGATTGAATCCAGAGGAAAGACGGAGGAGCGGCAAAATCCTTGCCTATTTCTGCATGTAAGAAAGTACCAGGCCCTAGAACGCCAGGGGTCTAAGCCTCTGATTACTGGTTTCCCCATGAACTTAAATTTTTAAAACTGATCACAGCTTGACACATCTCCCAGTTCATTAGCTTCTCCAGTGGCTCACACATGGAAGCTTTCATCTCACTAAGAAAGCACCTGCTGATCTGTCTCAGTAAGAACTCTGAAAAATTGTCTATTTACTATGTAAGAAAGACAGACTTGTAAAATTTGTCAGAGCAGGCCATGTTGAGGAAATATTTAATAGCTAAGGGTGTAAGTAGAAAGAGAAGCTGGGGACCAACTTAGAAGCGGACAGTTTATGAATGTGACAGTTCAGAAGCAATTGTTCTAGAGCTGAAATGGGCAAAGTGTGCCTCTGTAGATGGTGTTGGTCAACAGCTCCCATCATCCTTCATCATTAGCTATGCTGGCTGAGGAGGGCTGGTGGGAACTGGAGCTGAACATTATCTGTACGGCTGCATTATAGTCTAGACAATGGGAGATGAGAACAACTCATCTAGACATCTCCCAGATGTATTAAGGCAGGAAAAAAAAAATAAAAACCCTGAAACATGGGCCTGCCCCACAAACTGGGCTTCTGTTTAGAGCCTTGATTTGGGCTTTGTGTAGATTAGTCAACTGGAGTGCATTTCAAGTAAATAATAAAAAGAAACTCTGATGCAAGTGTTAGGTGCTTGCTATTTTAGAGTAAAGATTTCCATGACACTCCTTCTCAGGCAAATAATATGGTTTGCAGTTATGAACCGGATAAAAGTAAGACTGCCTTATTATGCTACACAAAACCCTCAAATGACAGCTTGAGTATAAATGTGACAAAAAAACCTTCTAAACAAATACATACCTGGAATTGCTGCCCAACCATGTGTCAGTTTTGGATGCTTGATAACATCTGATTTGTACCTACAGTAACAGAGACAGAGAGAAGTGATTGTTCAAACAAAAAATGTGGAAAAATAAGACTGAGCAGAGAATCCACTGGCATCCTTACTCATCTTTTTGCAAACCCACTAAAACAGATCACAGAATCATAATACTGCAAGAGATATCTGAGGTCATTAGTCCAACCCACTGCTGCATGCAGGCCCTGCTGTGTGGGATCCAATGCCATTATATTTGACAGATGGCTGTTAGTCTCTACTTAAATACTAACTGAGAACCTACCAGCTTCCAAGTTCTCCTAAACTTTAACTAAATTCTGTTTCCCTGTGATTTCCACCTGAAGGTTTTAAGTTATTTCCTCTGGAGGCATGAAGGATGCCCAAAGGGGAGAGATATTTCTCCTGACAACTAGACAATCATATTGTCCAAGATTGCAGGGGCACAATACCTGCCATGCTCCATGTCACTCAGCATCTTTCTGTGCCCAAGACTCAAAGCTATTTTGCCAGTCTAGGAAATAAGGAAACTCGATGGGAATTGCAGAGAGTGAAATGTCACATCTAGATTGAGAGAAGGCGCAGCATGGAATCGAGGAAGAGTCAAGCTCACTCTCTTTAAGGGCTCCAATGATAATGGGCAGAACTGACTGCAACTGCACATGCAGTTAGGGTTGAAAAAAACTGCTTTAGCTTTTACTGCTAATGGCTTTAATTTTTCCCCACCGTTTCATCCAGATGTACCAAGGGTTTCCTTTTCAGTCTCATGAGAATAGTGTGATGCCCATGCTAAAAAACAAGGACTTCTAGGCACAGCACAACACAATGCATGCACACACACTCCTACCTCTCTTTCTTCTCCATGACTACACCTGGATCCGTCAGATCCTCAGACCAGGGAAGAGACCCACACAGCCACTTCACCAGACAGTAACCCAAGGACTCAAGATCGCTCCGACGGGATGGTGCTGATAGGGCATGAAAAGAAAAGACATACACAGGAAAAAAAAACACCCGCTAAAGCCCAGTTCCAGCCTTATATTCCAGAAGAATAAGGGAGATGTTTTGTAGGTCAAAGGACCAACAAACAGGTTAGTGGGATCAGCTCTTGAACCATCACAGGTGCAAGGATAAGACAGAGCATGGAGGAGTTACTTTTTAAGACTGGGAGTCCTCAGCCAGCATGGCCAAGCTCAGAAAAAAAAATCAGAGGGCAGGGCAGGGATTAAACTAAAACCTCACATGACATATACTGTACACACCATATTCTATCTGACACATGAAGTTTCATGCTCAGGTTGCAAACCATGAAATCTCACCAGCTCCTTTATGGCTCTCCAGACTGATGAACTCCAAGGTGCCTTCATGATGAGTCCTGCTGCCCTCACGCTGAGAAACATGCACTCCTCCAGGGCTGTATCGGAAAGCAAAGCAGTAATTTGCCAGGGTGACCTGCAGGAAAAAGCAACAGTGCTCAACAGGGTGCTATGGTTACCAGTCAAGAGAAAGGTAACGTGCTGCCAGCCAAGTCTAATCTTCAGCAGCTTTACCAAATGCCCTATGTCCTAACACCCTGATCAATGTCTCTTCAATATCTTGGAAGACATCACTGTCAGAACAGTTTTACTCAGTAGGTACCTTGTCATAGTATCTTGTGACCTCCCACAGTGACCTCCACTGTTCCACACAATAATCATCTCCCTGTAGCTTTCTTATTCCAGTTCTCCCAATAGGAAAGACATGTTTCTCCCCTAGCACTTATCTCAGATAGCTGACAGGAGAGCAAGATATTTATTTCCCAAATTGACTGGTTTACCCCTTAAAATACATATAAACTTGCAGCTTCCCATTTGAAGGAATAGTATGTTCTCCTGAGCACTCACTCATCAGCAAAGCATGTCCCTCATTTGTTCACATTCACATTCCTTACCATGGCAAGATTGGCAGGATTCACATATATGTTCTCAGCAGTGATATCCCCATGGGTATACTCATTCTCATGAAGGTACTCCAGAACATCCAGCTAAAGAAAAGATTAAACCAGAGGAGGCATGTCACCAGTGGAATGTCTGCATTCCCACAGTCATTGACCCATGGACCAATTTTTCTTGAAATAGTTTCAGAAAGTGATGGGGGTGACGCTTTTGCCTTTTACAGTCTGAGATAAATAGCTGAAACATCCACTCACTATTCCAGTCTGATAAGAAGCGTTTTGCCTGTTTGAACAACACTACACACTATAAATCCATAGTCATCACTGGGCTGATGAGCAATATCTATAGAGGGCTGAATACTTGTTTTTAGCCCAAGAGCACATCAAACATTGGCTGAGAATAGAAGGACTCCTATATGTCCATTCTCACATGCACACACAACTTTGGAGTCACTGAGAGATGGAAGGATGAAATCCTCCTTCCCCCACCATTGACATGGAGTGCTGCTTTGTTGCTGCCAATACCACTGGCAACTCACATCTACTGTGGAAAGAATTGGAGGCACTGCACAGCACTGGATTCTAGTCCTGCTTCATGACAGCATCTGCTCTGTGGACCAAACTTAGCAGAATTACACCATCTTAATCTGACAGCCTCTTCTCCCCTGAAATATGACCAAATTAATAGAGTAGCTAAGAACACTGGTAGGGATAGGATGGAACTTGTATCCAAGTCACCTCTGTTCCAGTGGCATGGCAGTCACCCATAATATCCCAAGTAAGTTGCAAAATATATAGCTTGAGAGAATGCATCAACAGGTATTGTTGAGAAGCCCCCTCCCTCCGCTTCCCCCCTTCTTCTTCTTTCCTGGTGTTCCATACCAGCCTGACTGCAAGCTGCAATGCAGCTTTCTGTGTCATCCTGTTTGCAGAATCATCCAGGATGGACTGAAGAGAGCAACCCAAATCAGAGAAAACGAGGAACCTGCCAATCAAAGGAGACAATGCTGCAAATGAATTCTGCTATTAGTTAGAGATTTCAGCTAGTGTTCATCTGTTCCCTTTCCTCAGCTACCCCATCTATGTGTCTTTGTACTCCTCCTTCAGTCCTACTGATTGCTGAATAATAGTAAAAAAACACCATTAATTAGGATGAGTGTGAAATGGAAATAATGCAGTTTATTTCAGTTGACCTTATGGTCATGAACTTCCAAGAATTACTTGAGTCCACTCCCTGACTTGTTATATACAAAATTTATTATTATCAAAAGACTAGATGTGGAAAGGTGCATAGTAAAAAATGCAGCAACAAGGAAAGGCTAAGAAGAGAATGGCAGTACTGGACAAAAATATAAGTTAGTAAAATGACTGGGTGTTTTTCCCTGCTGGAAAACAGGACAGCAAATGAGTGGAAACAACACCACATTGGGAAGAGTAACATAATGTAAGCATTGAAGTTAAAATGTTGCAGACAGAAAGTTAGGATATGTAGTGAAGTAAAGAAGAGGTGTACCATTTGATTCACTGTTCTAATCAATTATTCCTTACTTGCAAGGAGCTAAGATCATAGAAACAAACTCATAAAATGTTTCAGAACTGGGAGGGGGGGGAGAGAATATTTGTGAATTCTCTCTCTCTGCAATTCTTAGTACAAAGTGGAACCTTGACAGGGGTCAAGAATGACACAGAAAGAGTGGTTTTGTCAGCTGTATAAAAGAAATCGGAAAGGACAGTCAAGAAAGTGCAAGACTGGTGGTGCAGAGATGGTGGCACTGGAGAAGCGAGGGTTGTGGGCACTAAAGAAAGAGGTGATACAGGAATTCCCTAGTCATGACTGCCTCACCTGTAGCTGTCATAGAGGCCAAAACCAACGCAATCGGGGATCCCCAGCAATGGTACGGCATGCTGTTTCTTCCATTTCTCCACTGCCGTGGGAGACAAAATAGGAACAATTTTAGTAAACAAAGGGGGACTCTCCCAACTTTAATGTTAAACATTGGCATGAACAGTTTTATTTATTGTTGTGAAGAATGTAGGTGAAGCATTTTTTTTCCTTAACAAAATAATAGACTTTTACCCACATACAGTACATGAATATTGCTGCTTTCGCCAGCAAAACCCACCGGAAGTCCTTAGGTCATTTATGAAGACGTTGAAGAGCACTGGGTCATTGTTATTATTATTATTAATCATTCATCATAGAATCGGCGTAGGGTTGGAAGACACCTTGGAGGTCTTCTAGTCCAACCCCTGCCCAAGGCAGACCTCATCCCATCCCGGACGGATGACTGTCCCATCTTTTCTTTAAAGCCTCCAGGGATGGGGCACCCACAACATCGGGAGGCAAGCTGTTCCACTGCTTCATGGTTCTTACCGTCAGGAAATTCGTCCTTATTTCCAGGTTGGATCTCCCCTTGGTTCTTGTCCTATCCTCAGGCTCAATGGAGAGTAAACTCCCATTATGTTATCCTAAGGTGACAGTGAGTCTCTTTTAAAAGACTCACTCTGCTCTGATGAATCCTGACTTTGCTTCTCACCTTGCTCTGTTCTTTGCTTTACTAAACAAATATTGTAGTAAACGTATGCCATCACGGCAAATGGGAAACAACCCTTTTGATATTTAGAGATTCCGCAACTTCTCAGACAAAATGAAATATAACTATAGTCTATCAGTTATTATGGAGTATAACATTGTTTAACACAATAACAAAAAAAATTGAGTATTGTAGCACCTTAATGACTTCCAAACCCCTTCCAGTTCTCTTAACTGTTGGTTAATAGTCCATCGAAAAGGTCTATACTCACAGTATGTTTTGCATTCACACACCCATCTCCTCTTTTAAAAATAAAATGGATGGCTTGGCTTGGTTTCCATAGAAAACTGTCGGTTCAGCGTTGTGGCAGATTTTTTTCCTCTTCCCCCCCTCCCGCCCAGGTCTCGCTGAAGTCAGTGTTTGGCTCCCCTCCAAGTTCCTCCTCTCCTGGAGGTAACTTTGAGTCAGCCGAAAAATCTCTTAGCTGATTTAATCTGAAACCTCCGCAGCTTCGATGCTGCAGCTTTGATCCTCTCGATCAGAATCTTGCTGTTTTCGCTAGCCACACCCACCGGAAGTCCCCAGGTCATTTATGAAGACAGAATCTTGAGGGACCCCACTGCACACTTTCCTCCACATAGATGTGGTTCCATTGAGTGTGGTTGGTCAGCCCTTTACTAAACAGATAGTAAACATATGCCATCATGGCAAATGGGAAACAGCCCTTTTGATATTTAGAAATTCCACCACTTCTGCAAAATGAAATATAACTATATCAGTATTATGGAGTATTGTTTAACACAATAACAAAAAAATTGAGTATTGTAGCACCTTAATGATAAATTTATTTCAGTACGAGTGTTTGCGGACTACAGCCTGCTTTCTCAGCTACATAAGAACTAATCAGGCTTTACTGGATGCAGTTTCCTCAACTGACTTAACAGGAAGTGCCCAGACCGTTCGTTGGTAGCTTGTTGGTTTCTTTATGTGATCTAATTAAAAATCAAATGAAAAGAGATTCCTGCTTTTGCAAACAGGCAGGCCAATCCACTGAGCTATTCTGCTTATATATCTGGTCCACTGTCAAGTATACTGACAATTTTTAAAGCATCAAACACCCCCTCAAAACAAGTCTATTTTGGATTTCAGCAGGATGTGGCAAATCAATTGAAACATCTATTTTCTACAGAAATTAATGAAACAGATATATTTTAATACAATGGCAAGACATTTTAGCTTCTATTTTCTTTGTCTGCACTGAATAAAAGCGTCGTGTGTTTAAGGCAGCAATTTTAGAAAAGGCTTGAATATCAGGAAAAACATCTTAAGTGTTAAGGCAGTATGACAATGGAACCAGTTATCTCGGGAGATGGTGAGCACTCCAAAACTGGAGGCACTCAAGAGAAAATTAGGCAACTATCTGTCACATTTACTTTGATTTGAATTGATGCATTCAGCAGGTTGTTAGCCTCCATGGCTTTATAGGCCCCTTTCAACTCATTTATTCTATGACTGTGTATAAGAATCTACTAGCTGAAAAGGCATCTCAATCAGTCGAGGAAAGCCTTACCTGTGACCTTCTTTGCAGCTCGCTGTAAGAAGTTCTGTTCATTGAATATCCTCCCATCTCTGGCATCCTGCAAGGAAGAAACAGAGAAACTGGCACTGAAATATTTTTCTCTGCCTCATTGCTAATCTTTCATTAATTGCTACAAGAAATAGTTGGCCGATATGTAATTTCTCTAACATTCAACAGATTTTTCGGAGCCAAGGAAAGACTCCCACGTTTGTCTTACAGATGGGGAAAAAAAATAATCGAGATTTGAGAGATGAATCTGCACCAAGACATATGGAGAAAGTAAGCCTAGAATGCCACTAGGGAGGCCTTTCTAATGAGCTAACAGCGAGTGCGCTTAGTATCGTACAAACCCACACATGAGGAGCATCTGGAATGCAACGTGTTGCTCTTTCTCTTTTGTATGAGAAAAGTTGAATAGTCCACAAAGTTAGGAATAAAAGATCGAGAAACGGGGAATCTAAAATAACAGAAGGTCTTGCGTAGGTGTCTCTAGTGATCAACGGGTAGATGTGTCAAACATGTCCAGGGGAACTATACTTGGCACTCAAGTTCCTATTGCCACTCTAAACTCACCCATCTCACTCTGTATTTTTTCTTCTACTCTACTACTCCTGTTGTTGAGAAAAGATTATACATTCCCATAAAACACTGAAGGGTCTAGAAGGCTGTCTACAAGTTTCCTTAGACAACAGTTGCCATTTAAGCCTCAAAGAACAAGAAGCAAAAGAAATAAGGATGCCTCAGTGAATGGCTAATGTCTCCTTGTGTGGAAATGCACACACAGGAAGCAAGACACTTCCAGAATGGGGGAAAGATATTTGTTCAGGCTGCAGGCTTTCGAGAGAGAACACAGCCAGCCTTGCAATGGCTTCCATCCATGTAAGGCAAGGCTGGGGATCCTGTGATCCTCAAGATGTTGTTGAACATTGGCTCAAGCCAGACTAGTGAATGGTCAGGTATCATGATGGGAGTAGTAGGGCCACAGACCACTCTCTACTCTTGCGAGTCCCCTTGCCATGTTTCCCCTGCTGAGATTTAACCAATGTCCTGCCAATGTCCAGTTTTAGCACCTGCAATATTGTACTTTACATCCAGTACAGAGATATGAACTCACAAGTTTGAGGGAGTATTTCTGCTTTGCAAGGCTGGCTCCAGATACTGATTTTGCTGTGAAACGACAAAATAAATGAAAAGCATGCATTTTGTGGCTTTATACATTGGTCTCAACAATCCACTGATAATATTGTCACTGAGACCTCCTGCTTGCCAACTTCAAACATATTTTACAGCTATGCAAGCACTGGTTTATTTAAAGTATTGAGATAATGTATTCGTAAACACAACAACAGAAGCCAGGTGATCCTTCAAGGTTTTACATCCAGAGTTTAAGAATAATTTTCCTCTGTCCTCTCCAACTGTTGCATACCAGCTTTGGTACAACACTCTTCATAATTTTGAATAATTGCTGTTTACCACCTAGGAAAGCAAGCCAGGCTCGCATGCCTAGTACAGCCCTGAGAAACAAAAAATGTATCAGTATAACCGACTGGGTGACGAGGACTTACAGGTGACAAATCCCCTGCCATGTAGCATCCTTTTGGCATGCGATTTTTTCAGAGCAAGAGCTTCCAGGAAATGATTGGCACATATTAGACATACGTTATGTCACTGCGCATTCCCACCATTTGGCAAAAATGATAACCTGTTAAGTGGATGGGAAAGCAAGGTAGGATTCCTAATAGAATAGACCCTTCTCCAGGTGTCCCAGCTTTCAGGTGTCAGGTGAGTGATGATGGGAGAAGGCCTTTTTGGTGATAAAGCAATCCCACTTATGGAGCACCCACATTAGAGTTGTCTACCTGTGAAGTTTTTAACTAAATGTAGGTGCCAAGTAAAAACTTTCTTCCAAATAGGACACTGATTTTTACAATACAGTGAAAACAAACGAGTCTGCTTTATCTAGTGTTCTATTTTTGTTTTTCATGGGTCACATTGGTATCCCAGGAAGCCAACAATTCTGCCTTTAAACCATGACTTGAAGACAATGAATAATAGTTCACATGTAGCAGGAAGCTAAGGTTAGAGGTCCAGCATCTTGACTTGTTTACCTATTTGTGTGAAGTGAGGAGTGAAGCGGGAATCAGTGAGCTTCACATATAAGTGCATACTGTGCATCTATATGCTGATTTACTTAACCAAGTCATGCCAGCTTCCTATTATATAGGAGGGTAGCAAGTTCCCATGCTACTATAAGTTTACTGTTCCTGGTGCTAGCTGATTTGTTTTGGTATCTTGTTATACACTTAAATTCTTATTTTTCTGATTTTGTATTAGTTTATCACGAACTCTTTAAGACGTGTACTTCAAATAGAAAAAGACATAAATGCTTCCAACAACAAGAAGCCTGAAATAATGGCTGAAATCCTGTTGCTTAGCACAGTGAGTCACAACTAGAGTAGGCCCACTCAATCAATGGAACATATTGAGGAGCTGAACAATCAAATCTCCACTAATTCAATAGGCCTACATTAGTTGGGTCTTAATACACTAAGCAGCAGGATTTCAGCCAATATGTCAAGCAAAACTGTATGACAGGGCAGATATACAGCCTTTTTCACTTAAAGATCGATTTTTCTTCAGAAAGTGGTAAAGAGAACAGAGATGTAGTTGAAGTCTAGTAAGTGACCACGTGTGCATCTTTTATACCTTCATACATCAGCCCATGATCACTCTCGCTCAGAAGTTTTGTCAGCATCCATTGCTTGTCGTTCAGGTCTCTCAAGATCTGACCTTCCAGGAGAGGTTTCACGGTGGCAGTTTTCTTCCTCCTGGGAGACTGGGCGCTGGGCGCTGCTTTCCAAAAGAAAGATTAGTAATGGTTAATTAGAAGCAGCTTCACGAGGGTCCAAGACAGAGCGGGAACTCTTCTTTCCTCTCCCTGTTCCCAACAAGGAACTAACATACAAGCAGTGCTAACATTTTTACTGTACTTAGTATAAGCCATCAGCCCAAACTAAAGTCTGAGGACTTAGGTAGCCTGGAGGTGTCACGCTGCCCACCATCATTCAAGTACCAGTTAGAAGATCATACTGGTGCTGCTGCTGTCCCAACAGCTTTCTCCACCAAGTTAGAAAAAAGCTGCATGAATGAAAACTCATTAAAAGATATTTTATGTTGCTGCTATCATGTAGCAGAAATGGGCAGATATTGTCGCTGTTTGGAAGCAACCACAGCCTTCCTTCTATACCCATCTCACCAGTCCAAGTGAGAAGTACTGCAGGAGCATGCTGGCAATGATGAGGTAAACATCAGGAAGAACTCAGTTCTAATCCCATCTCTAACAGGAATTCAGCACCTGGCTGTTTGCTAGAGGTGGCCAGATTTCTGGCTTGTGGAATCCACTTTGATCTACAAACAGCAGCTTGGTACTAGAAACATCTTAAATTCAAGAATTTATCTGGAGTACCAGAACTGTAAGAAACTCTTAGTCCTTCCACTAGGATGATCCAGATCTGCTTTCTGCCTAATTTTGCTATAAGGGAATCCAATCTCTCTCTCTTATCAATGAACTAGAATGCAGGAATAAGAGGTTCAGGATGCTATTTGGTGCAATCCTCATATATGGGCGTCAAGTGATCCTATTTGGTCTGCTTTTAAAAAGTGTCAGGCATGTGTATTACAAGGGGTCTCTAAGAAAAGTCTAATAGGAAATACATTTCTCTTAAAGGTCCAACCACAGCCTGATACACGAACCTAATACACAAATACACTTCTTTCCCTTGTTTTAAAGGGACAATTGAGAAACTGCAGATTCGGGCTGCCGGGCTGCCTTGGGTCTTGACGAGGGGAGAAAGGTGGGATAAAAATAAAATATCCCTTGTCTTAAAGGGCCAATTGAGAATCTGCAGATTCGGGCTGCAGGGAGGTCTCTTTTAAAAATTCATTTTTAAGTAATGTTTTCAATATGTACAGATTGTCATCTTAAATCTCGATCAATTCCTTTTGACTAATTGCTGATTTTAATCTTTTTGTATGCTGTCTTGGGTCTCGACTAGGGGAGAAAGGTGGGATAAAAATAAAATAAATAAAATGAACACATAACAATAAAATCTTTGCAATGCTCACAAATACTCACCTTTTTCTTTTGGGGATGGGGTAGCCACTGACTTTTGTGGAGGGCTTTGTTTAAATGAAACAAAAGCTTTGTCTTCACTGGGTGAGAGTGTGTCTACTTTTTTCACTGCAGGAGACCTTTGTAGGTGATCCCGGATGTCCTGGCTCAGTTCTAAACCAGACAGAAGTGGCATTGTCAGTAAGAAAAGATGTCCCAAGGTAGGTGTGTTGATAACATGCAATACACTTGGACAAGTATCAGGTCCATTGATCTCAGCAACAATCACCACAATGGCTGAGCTGCCATTGCTAGAACTAGCCAGGGTCAGATACCAGACTGGGGTTGATGAGCAGTAGCATTTGGTGGGCAACCTGGTGGAAGCCTAAGCCTACTTCCGGTCCAAACATCTCAACATGCTGGCCTTGCTGTCTTCCTTCTGTTAGGCCCAATCCGACATTCAGACTGTGGGATAAGGGGTAGCAAAATACAAATAATGGGGTGTTGCTTGACAATTGATTTAGTACTGCTGAACCATTAATGGACAAACAGTTGCCTCCTTGAAATGAAGATGGATGGCAGGACAATATGGCAGTAATGATGGGCAATAATTGGCAGGGTTTTGCCAGCAAAGATTAAGACAAAAGTAGTAGCAAGTATAGGCATGAAACCAGGGGCTTTACTCAGTGTAACTACCATGGGCCCACCTGTTCATTAGCAAGTGAGCTGTGAGGACTGCTCTAGCTTAGCAGCCAATCTGTTTGTACAATTCAGTTCCCACTGAGGAGCCATGCATGGATCTTAACTCTCAGATCCCACAATTCACTCACTTTTTCTCAAGCTTAGCTGGCTGGATAGCACAGTGGGCTGGGTACATGGCTGTGGAGTGGAGATTGGGCAGTTTGATTCCCTAGTGTGCCTCCCGGGAGAAAAACCAGCCAACGTAGCCTTGAGCAAACTACACAGAGTATTTCCAGAAGAAGACACTAGTATACTGCTTCTGGGAAGCTGTTATTTTCTAGCAAGAACTAGTTTAAGGTACAATATCCTACTAATTCTACCCTACCCTTTTGCCTTTGGTCATACCCACAACTGAAATGTGGACCTTATTTCTCCAAAACAGAGTTTGGCTTTAGGGGCAAAACAGGTTTCTCAACCTTGCTGTACAAACTAATCTGCCTGGTATTAGCTGCTGAATACTCTGGTAAGAAGGCGAAAGATTTATGCAATCTGAAGAGAAACCCTGTTTGGTCTCCTGACAGGCCGTGCTCCTGTTTGCCAAAAATGCACACTCAACTCTCTAGTCATACCTGTCATTGAAGGAGACGGTGAGATCTGCATAGATTCTTCTTGTACAGGCAGTCTATTCCCACAGGAGGGGCAAAAACTGAATGTTGCTTCCACATTCACTCCACAGTGTGGACAAAAACTGACCATTCTGAAAAAGTAATAGAAGAGAGAAAAGGTCACACAAAGAAATATATATATGTTTCAAACTAGAAATAATTTTATAAGGCCCGGAAGGTAAAGACAAGAAATTGAGCCTTCTCGGCGGTGGCTCCTCGCCTTTGGAACAACCTACCTCCTGAGATTCGCGTGGCACCCTCGCTGGGTATCTTTAAAAATCAACTAAAAACATGGATGTTTCGGCAGGCCTTCCCTCCAGACAATTCCTGATGCCCTCTCCTCTCCCTCTCCTATTGTTTCCTCCCTCTCCTAAGGTTTCTTCCATTCACTCCACAGTGTGGACAAAAACTGACCATTCTGAAAAAGTCATAGAAGAGAGAAAAAGTCACACAAAGAAATATATATGTTTCAAACTAGAAATAAGTTTATTTATAATATGCATTGATCACTTAATATTTTGATCAGGTTCTGTTCATCTAACCTCAGATGAAGTGATTATCTTTTTTTAAAATATAATGCAGAAAAGCAGAACAGTTAGAACCAAAATAAAAATAAATTATCTGAGTTATAACACCACTTACAATTTAAAAATAAACACATTTCAAAGCCCTATCCATGGTTACAATGATCTTCAACTGTCGCTTCTGCTGACTGATATAGCTGATAACACGGCAGCCAAAATCCAACTGTGAAATTCCAAAATTAGGCACAAGGGGCATTGGTTCAAGTCCTTATGACAACTTCCTAGCTGTCTGTTGCACACCTGAAGTGCAAGAGCAAGGGTTATTCCTGCCTCTTGGGGGCACTGTCACAGCCAAAAGAGAAAGAAGATTTCACTTTCTTCTTTGCTTGTGTTTTTTCTCTGGTTCGTGGATCTGTTTCTGTCCTGATTAGGCTTCAAAGCACTGAGAGAAGATACAGAGCAACAGAAAGGAGCTAAAATATACTTACAGGGGTATCCAAGGAAGTCAGTTCCAAGCCCCTGTGGATTATGGAAATCACTGATACAACAAACCCTATATAGTTACTACATAGTCTCTAGTTCCCTCTAGTGGCCAGTTCTGGAAATATATATTGGAAACATGTATTTCTGGGGTTTTTTATTTAATATTTACAGGCAGTGGATAAGTGAAACCATGGGTACTGATCCTGTGGAGAGAGTGGCCCTACCGTATTTGAAAGGTAAGAATGTAAATTCATCTGAATTCAAAAATGTAAATAATTTTAACAGCATTACTTCATCTTCATTGTCATTATGTAAATCATAGTGTAATTTCCCACTAATGTAAGGGAATTAGTGTTTTTAGGCAAGCTTAGTCACCATATTATTATTTTCTTCCCTTCTTTTCAGCAAAATAGTGAGACCAACATCTACTGTATAGAGACACTTCCACACAACCAGTTATTCTAAGAATAATAACTGACTTGCAAATACTGTCAAATGAATTATGCACTTCTGAATGTTAATGAGGATGGTAAAATATGTCCTTATATGTAATGTATGCTGTAAACACTGGGTGAAATCCAGCAGGAAGTCACAATTAGAGTAGGCCCAACGAATCAGTGGGGATTTGGTGAGTCAGTTCCTCTGTAAGTTCCATTGATTCAGTGGGCCTACTCTAGCTGACTTACTACTAGATCTGAGTCCATAAAAAAGCCTTCATAGATCTAGGTTTTCATAATGGTGAAAGTACAAGTAACTCTTCCCAACATTCTCATTCCAGAAGCCGTCTTTTCTGCTCCTGTATCACCAGCATCATCACAAAGTGCTTCTCCATCAGTGACAGCATCTTCAAGTAAACACATATGGCAACAAACTCCATCAAAAAAAAATTTCAGTACTAAGGTAAGAATCATTTGCATGTAAGATGATACCGAATGATTCAGAAAACAAATGATCAATATTTTATTGCTCTTTCAGTTGATGACTTTTGTCAAGAACTGAACAAATGCATATTGACAGGAAACTTCTGAATTACTAAGACAATCACAGACATTTTACATCACATGCATTCTTTTAGAATCAGAATGGGATAAAGCACTGTGTTTTGCAACAATTACTATGTATGGATGTGCAAATTGGACAGTGAAGAATGCTTCCAGGAAAAAAAAATTGATCTATCTGAAATATGATATTGGAGGAGAGGTTTGTGGATACCGTAGGCTGGCAGAAAGACAAATAAGTGGATGCTAGATCAAAACGAGGTCTGAAATCTACTTAAAAGCGAAAAATGACTAAGCTATGGCTACTTTGGGCATATCATGAAAAGAGAGTAATGCTTGGAAAAGTGAAAAGCAGCAGGAAAAGAGGACAACCAGATATGAGAGGGACTCGCTCAATAAAGGAAGCCATACTCTTCAGTTTGGAGCAGCTGAGCAATGTTATTAATGACCAGGCCTTCTGGAGTTCACTCACTCCTAGGGTTGCCATAAGCAGGAAGCAACTTGATGGTACATGTTGTGTCTTGCAGTACTTAGCTTATGGATGGACAAATGTGAGGGGAAAAGGAAACACAAAACTTGTGATAACAGCACCTCAACCATTTTTTACAGAATCATTGAAACAGAGCAGACATATTTCAGAGTATATTGGCTGAAAAATATATGGGTTTTACAGAAAATTGGGAGTGGTAATATATGTGCTTGTTGACTGATAGTGCATTTTAATATAAAAGCAGTGTGGAAGATCACAATGGATGAGTATCCCTGCATTCCTACAATCAGATATGCTTGTCATTACCACTTGCTTCTTAATGATGTAACAAAATTGGGCACCTTCCAAAAGATCTACCGATAAGCAAACATGTAAATGCTACTCATACTGAAGTTGCTATCTTCAAAAAGCAGCAAGAAGAAAAAATGTGATGAACAAAATAGAGATATTGAAGATTTATAGTAGAACTTGATGGTGTAGAAAGCTTATCTCCTTTGAACACCTAATGAAAATAAAGTACAGAGCTATTCAAGGAACTGTAATAGCTGGAGATCATAAGAAACCTAGAAGTGTAGGGAACATTTTATTTGAAATGTTTACCTTTTGGTTCAGCTACAGAAACCCTTGAGATTCTAAAACTACAAATGGCACCCATAGGACTTGATGTTGGAAAGGCACTTTAGAATGTTGCAGGATACAGCACATTTTCAAGAATATGGTTCAGGAATGCAATTTGGGTTTCTGCCAGACATCTCTCTCCTCCAGCCATGGTGGCAAGGCCCTGGTTGGTGTTTTTTGTTCCACAACAAAACCCGCTGATCACCCTATCTCCTGAATAGGACAAAAGCTGTTCCCACAGCTATAAATACTCAGCTATCCAACAAACAGCAACAGAGCATGGACAGAATTCCTACTCCAGTCCTCTGAAGATGCCGGTGAAACGTCAGGAAGAGCAACCTTCAGAACATGGCCAAAGAGCCTGAAAAACTCACAATAACCATCAGATCCGGGCCATAAAAGCCTTCGAGAATACAGCTTCTAACTATTCAGTGGACAGCTGGAGGTCACTCCTTTTCAGTTGTGTGATATTCTTATGAAGGAAATGCATGTACAGTACTGGAAAACTGGTTGCTGTGAACTGAAATAGTTGTGCAGGAGTACATCCTCTTCTCTATTGTCTGTAACAGCTTTTCTGGCAACACCTTATACAGCAGTCTATGCTGAATCGATTCTCAGATACAACTGACCTTTATTTGGGACTTATTGGAATTCTAATCTTAAAAAAATCTTAACTACATCACTGTGGGAGTCATTGTTTTTAAACAATTAGTTTAGGGAAAGTGAACGAGTGCATCTTTCGCTAGAAGGAAGTAGTGTACATAAACACAGATGCCTTCTACAGAAAGTATAGAAATAATATGTTACTACTTTTAAAATGCTACATTTATTTATTTATTTGATTTTGTTTACATTGTTTTAAAATGGCCATTAGGGCGGATGTCTGGGAACACAGTCCTAGGGGAAATCGGAGTCTTCAAGTGGAGTATAAATCCACCTAGCACATCTTTCAAACTCATTCCATCACCTGCTTTAGAAAATCCCTGTTTCATCCACATCCCATTTTAATTTACTCATCCAAATTAAATCCACTTTTAAAATGTAGACTATCTTCCTGCCAAACATGACAATAATGAATGTTGAAAAATTTACAAAATCACATATATTATTGGGGTGGTGGTGGCTGGGAGGAGATCATATAACTGGATGGCATGTCCCATTGTCCTTAACGACCAGAATTAAACAGAGAAGGAGTGAAAAGGGATTAAAAGGATATTTTGGTCACTAAATCCTGAGGGTGAAGGTGGCACAGGAGGGGAATTATAGGTGTATTGTATTGCGTGTATACACATTTTATGTTAGCGCTGTTATTATTAACTAACTGTAATAAAATAATAAAAAAAGAAATAAACAAACCACCCCACCTAAATGTGTCAATTTTCCCCTTTGCTCCTGTCCTTTGTTGCCACGTCCCTCAAACATGTTTTGAAACCCAGACTTGCATTTACCAAAACAGGCTCCTAACTCTTGTGGAAATAATAATAGTGGGCGTAGAGGATCTTGCATTATTTCTTTTAAATTGAAACAGGCAATGAACACAAGCGCTGTATCAATACCCCATTTTACGTAACAGCGCTGTTTATATACCATAAATATAGCATATACCAGGATTGAAACCAGGCGTTGCCAGGTGCCTTCACTTCCTTATGATACTCAGGCATAGTATCTCTCTCTCTTTTTTTTTTTTTTTTGGTTTTTTTAAGCTCCCAGGGCCACACAGATCTATTTTCCCCTTGTTTTTATTTTATCAATAACTCTCTTCACACTGGAACTCGGGTCGCCCGAGGCGGCCAAGACCAAGGGGTTGTTGTTGTTGTTGTGCTCTCATGGCTTTTATTTCGTCAGGCTGACTGACGGGCCACCCCTTGGTTAACGTAAAAAACCCTGAGTAGTCGTGAGGGGCGCCCCCCTCCCGCGGCGACCCCGTGACTCGGGTGGCGCCCTTCATTCACACAGCCCCGCATCCTCCCCGCCTCAGACGTGGGGCCGCGCCGAGGTCAACAAGGCGGGTTCGCTTCGGGAGAAAAAAAAACTATGGCGACGCCTCCCGTCGCAGCGCCTTGTGGAAAAACACCCCCTAAACCCTGTCCTTCGGTCAGAAGGGACTTTCGCGTCGTATGAATGCCCGTAACTCGCGAAAGGAAAGTGGCCGGGGCTCAGTGGCCTCGCGCTTTTCCCCTCACACCCACCCGCCATGACGGGCCCCGAACGAAGCCGGCAGCCATACCCGGCTGTAACCCACCTAGCGTCGGGGCCCGCCGGTCGCGTTTTGGCGGCTGGAGCGGCTTCTCGGTCGGGCTCCGGCCGGGCTCTTCTCTTCGGTCTTCCCCGGGAGCGCTTCATGGTGCACTGAGGGGCAGAGGAAGGTGTCCCTCGGACCCTCACCCTCACGGGCCTCCCCTCACGACTCACCCCGGCGGCGACGGCGCCGCCATGAGGCGCTTCGCATTTCACCTCAGAAATCCCGGAGCTCCCGCTCAAGGGAGGCTGCTGGAACCCTCCGGGCTCCTAACGTTTTTAATGCCCTTTTGCTTTTAATCGTGTTTTAATGAGCATGCAGTTTAATTCTGTTTTTTTTTAATGTTCAACTTATGCGTTTAATTCTGTCGAATCTTGTGAGCCACCTTGGGTCCTCTAATGGGGAGAAAAGTGGCATATACATCAAAACACACAATAATTTACTTTCTTTCGTCAGAGCCCTGATGGGGAGAAAAGTGGGCTATAAATCAAACAAACGTTCGCTTTTGTCATGGTGCCTAAAATTACATAAGATGCGTCACCATGTGACTTAATCCATGCCAGCAGTGGGCAGGTTTACTCTGGCATAAATGTCATTAGAGGTAGTGGGGTTTACGGCCAGGTAAACCCTGTCAGGATTAAATCCTTTTTGAAGTATGTAGGTGCAAGATCCATTTGGGGAACATTTTAGCACCTTTCTTTATACAGTAAATCATCTTCCTTTGCTTGCTTAAGCAGGGATGTTGGCAAGGCTTGGAGCAGAATCCAAGGCTTTGGTCCCAAATCCTGAGTACCTATTAAAAACAGGGTTGTTGTTCTTTACACAGAAAAAAGCAAGAGGTGGGGGGTTCCAAGTCATGGCCGAGACCTTTGGGGGAAAAATTGAGTCAAGTCACTGGTGCAACTTGAGTCCTTCGAGTCATTGGGGGAAAAAACCTGAGTAAAGTCACTGGTGCAACTTAAGTCCTGTGTGATAGCAAGGCTGGCATCTCAAGTCCCCGTCCCTGCTGAAAAAGTAGTAAAGGCACACTGGTTTTTAACAGCTGGGTGTGCTTCTCCCATCCTTGGTTTTGTTTTTATTCGTGCAACCTAGTCTGATAATGGAAAACACACATATTTGCACACTTTTGTGGCATTGGGGGTTAATCCTCATGGCTCCCACCCAGGCCTCCCCAGTCATCCTTCTCTACATAAATAAGCTACACTTCTCTCAAATTGCACTGCAGCTTTGGTTATACATGGAGTTTTCCAATAAATAAACAAACAACTATTCTAATAAATTAAAAAATCCAATAAATACCTTGTCTCTGATAACTCAAGAGACAGGGGCATGAGTTCAACATTGAAGGCATCAAAATGGTCCACTTGCCCCCAGACATATCTCTCGTTCTGCCTCTAGATTAGAGGGGTCATCAGGACACATGAGGCTCATTACACACAGGACTGTATGGTAAGAATTGTCAACATTATGGAAGAAAAGCCCAATAGAGAAAACTCTTCTATATGTGTGTGCATGTTAACCACCTGTTTATGTTTTGCAGTTACATTTTGGGGGCATTAAGAGTTATACACGGACTTTGAACCACACAGATATTTGGCACCCCTATCCCCAGCATTGTTGGAGGGAGAAATGTACTTTTTTTGAATGGAAACAGGCCTTTAGGAGTTTGATTCCCCACTTTGACAGGCTGGACTGGATGATCCATAGGATCGGTTTTGTTTTGATTTGTGCAACCACACAGATATTTGGCACCCCTAGCCCCAGCATTATTGGAGGGAGAAATGTACTTTTTTTTTGCATGGAAACAGGCCTTTAGGAGTTTGATTCCCCACTTTGACAGGCTGGACTGGATGATCCATAGGATCCCTTCCAGTTCTGCAGTTCTAAGATTATGATGGATTATATTAAAGTTGCTATCCTATGACCAAAATAATGTTCCTTACTCTAATAAACTTCACTAGAGTAGAACCATTGAATCAATGGGGAGTTAGTCAACTCCTCTGTAAAATGAGCCTACTCTAACTGCAACTCACTATGCTAAAGTTAAAGTATTTGACTCTAACAATTGTTTCGCCAAATCTCCATCGATTCAACAGACATACCGTATTTTTCGCTCCATAAGACGCACCTTTCCATAAGACGCACCAATTTTTTTTAGTTAGTCAACTCCTCTGTAAAATGGGCCTACTCTAACTGCAACTCACTATGCTAAAGTTAAAGTATTTGACTCTAACAATTTAGTTGTTTCGCCAAATCTCCATCGATTCAACAGACATACTCTAGTCTAGTGCAGTTTACTACATTAAGCAGCAGGATTTTGGTGCATGTGCATTTCCTTAAAAGTAATGCTTGCTGTATTCAAGCAGGCTTTACACCCTTGAAGAGGTGTTTTGGACTGCAGCCTACAAGTTTTTACCCAATGCCAAAAATAAATGTTGCCAGCAAAGGATAGTACACGGAGTGTGTTCCGTAAGACCAGGGAGGAAATTTCAAATGTCCAGATGTTTGAGTTCAGCTTCCAGAATCCCCAAGCATCATGGCCAATAACGGGTCATGGGAATAATAGTCCAAAACAAATGCACCAGGACCCAATGCACATGGAAGTTTCAATGTTAGACATTTTCATGTTGAAGTGACAGCCCTTACATTAATCTCAGAACTCAATGTGCAGATAGCAATGAAGTAGCTTATTACAGTATTAACCTATTATTCCTAATAGGTTTGCTTCATACATTCCTAAGCCAATCTAAAGATAATGGGCTGCCTTATTTACAAGACATGTTTTGTAATCTTTCCCACACTCCTGTTCCTCACCCCCAAAGATTTCAAGTCAAAACATTTGTACTATTTCAGAGTACCCTGTCATTTGTTTTTTGAGCATTTATTGTATGGTGAACAAAACCTGTCCTTCCTTATCTAGCATTGAAGACAATTTCCACCAAATCTACAGTGTTTCAAAAATTGTAGATATAAAACCGGAAATACCACCCATACATTGGCCCCTATGGAATACAACTGCTGTTTGACTTAATATTAGTCCATCTATCTACAATACTCCCTATCTTTACTAACGGTTTCGATTTTTTTTTCCAGGCAGGGTTTATATAATGATTTTCTGGCTTGAATTTTATATTTATTACCTTAACTTAGTTTTCTGTTGTCATTTTCTCAATACTCCCACAATAGGAAAAGGGTGATGCTCATAATAAACAAAGTATCATTTACAAAATTAATTTCCTTTTGCCAGTGCAACATCCTTAAACTCTTTTCCATACACTTTTCCTATAAACACATCTATTCAGAACGAAAGACAGCAGGATGTCTGATTGGATCTACTGTGCTGGGTCTTCTGTGCCCCGACCTCATCAGAAGAAAAACCGTCACATTCAGGATGAGCCTTAGTGTTAGATATTAATATTTTTCCAGCTTCTGTTTATTTCTGTCCTCCTTGCTATCCAACGATTACATCTGTTAGTTAGTGTAGATAATGATGCCAATTGAATGCATACCTTGTTCCTCAATGTAACAGTATTAAGTCATCCTGATCTACAGTTTTGCAGTTGTTATGAGACACAGACTACCCCAAGATTCTTTACCCACAGAGTCATGAGTGGTCATCCTGATCTACTATTTTGCAGTTGTTAAGATATGAGACACAGACTACTCCAAGATTCTTTACCCACAGAGTCATGAGTCCGTTTATATATAAAAGGTTTGTTTTTATAAAAAAACACAATTGGTTAACACGAACTGTCATTGACATTACCTTCTTTTAAAAAATCACTTTGTCCAGTGTTTTCCCCTCAAATTCATATAGCTGTCACCAAACAAATTATCTTGTACCATAGTATACATTCTAAGAAGCCATAATTTGTAGAGAGAACAAAGTATTATTCTGGGCCCCTGTAATCAGAAGATAGACTACTGTCCAAAATTCTTATTTTCTGATATTAGAATCACAGATAACTGAGGGCACCAATTTATCAAACTTCTACAAGCAGAAGTTAATTCAACAGAAAAATATTCCAGCTTGTAAATCAAAGACTATTGAATTCAGATTACTAGTGTAACCAGTTTTTTTAGAAAACAATTCATCCCATACATTCTGTGATCAATGAGCAACACTAGACAATGGTAGCAGGTTCAAGCACCTATGCATCATCTTTTACTTCTTTTGCCTCCAAATACAAATCTCCCATTAATATGATTAAAGTTTGTGGGCTTAATTTCCATATTCTAACTTCTTTGTAGCAAGAAATGTTTCCACCCCATGGCTGTGGAGTAATCAGACAAGTAACATTTAATGTGAAGGTAAAATGTAAGAAAGGGAAAAGGAAGAATGAATATCAAAAGAGGACTACTATAGGAAAATAATGATGAAAAGAAGAAGAAAAAACATAAGAACATCCAACTAAATTATGGCAGAGAACTTGCCAGATTCACAAGTGCCACCAGATTGCATAATATGCGTACAGCAACAAAGTAGCTCTGAGCCCTTAAAAGAAAAAAATCACCCTTGTAAACATGTGCACTGTGCTCCTTAGTAAACTGCAGCAGACACTGGAGTAATAAATGCAACAGAGAGTGCAGATCTCAACTGGCATATCAAGTACAAACATGGAGGCACAACCTCTTGAGATCAGAACTGGGCTGAAAAACTGAACCCAGTTTTAATCATCACATTTGGGCTCAGAAAGAAGGCAACATGTCCTGAAGATGGGACAGCAGCCATTGGGTGGGGCAAGGGTTACTTACATTCAGGGAGGTGCTCCCGGGCTGATATTTTTCCTCTGTTGCCTTTTGGATATACTTTCAGCTCATCCCTTCAGAGACCCCAGCATTCTCCTCATCTCCAAATGCTTTGGGAGATTTACTATTTAGATACAACCCCGTCTAAGCTCAGAAAATGCACTTTTTTAAAAAACAGGATGCAATGTTACATTTAAACAGCAAATCACTCCCTGCTTCTGCCACGAGAGGAAATATTTTCAGGGTTCAGGTGAGCAAAAGATCATCCACTACCGTTTTAATACTTGATCCACCCACACAAAATGTCATCTCAGCGTTAGATAGAGGGAGAAGACCATGGGGAAGCTGTAAGGTAAACATTAGAGGAGAGCAGAGCTACACATCCCATAAGCAACCATGGGAAGTACAACTTAGAACCATGGACAGGACTGCACCAGGAGGTTCAGCAAGCCTCCCACGTTTGCACCTGCTGTCAGGCTTGATATTAAAAAGTAAACAGCACCAGGGTATCAGAGGCTTAAGAAGCCCAAATTCATCCTGTCCTCTTCCTTGTATTCTGCCACATTTTTCCGTTTCGCTTGCCTTCTGCCAGATCGAGTGGAGTGTAAACAGGAGTAAAGAGGCAACGATGGACCTTTGTTCATCACAGGGCCCAGAGGTTGTACTGAGGTAGCTTTAAGAGATGCACCAAAATTGCAGTCTGTGACAGAGGTAGGGCTGGCGCTGTTGATAGAGGAATATCCAGAGCTGGCGTCAGTGGTAGATTCTTGGATGAGCCACCTTCTCTCGCCACCAGGCTGGTTGTAATTCTTTGAGTCACACGTAGACGCCTCTTGGGGAGGGCTCTCCTCATCACTGGATCCTTGGCAGCAGCAGCCATCATGTGCTTCAGGGCCCATACACATCACAGTTGCATCCAGAACTCCGCTTGGAGCTGTAACTATAAAGGGAAAAGAACCTTCAACATTCAGTGTTAAATTATACCCCCGTGAAATCAGATCAAGTGGTAAGGGGGAGCATCCAAATCCATCAGTCCCGGTCACACTCAGTGGTTTGGTGTGTGCTCAGGACTCACGATGCAGAATGGCCATACGAGCACAGGCTAAAGCGGGGAAGAGCTTACCGTCTCCTTCCTTCTCGCCTTCACTTTCTTGATCTCCTTCGTAACCGGAGCAGGAATCTAAGCTCCAGTCCAGGAAGTTATCCAGGAGACTCTCCTCTTGGTTGGACAGCTCGGCTGTCGGGGTGGTGACGAAGCTGCCTCTGTCTTCCTGAATACTGTCTTCTCTTCTCCTGTGGCAAGAATTAGGAACAGATTCTCCATGAGAGTGGGAAAAGAGAGGAGCAGAGGACCTCTTCGCTCCAGCAGGTGGATGTGGTCCTGGCAGTCAAGGAACATTGTCCCTAACCTACATCTTTTTAGTGAAACAGAGCCGAGTTTGATTTCATTGAAAAACAAAGACATCTCACTCCTCTCCCACCTCTGAGCCACATCCACGGTACAGCTTTTGGAGAGCTATTGACACAATAAGCAATTAAATAGCTATTTGTATTTGAGATTTTTTTTCTTATTTACACCCAAAACATTTTGGCCATCATCATCATCATCATCAACAGATCCAACAGTAGAGAACGCATGATGTCGTTGCCAGTGGCAAATGGCCATTAGTTAAAGAGTCCCTACTTCGATTCTGTGTTGCACCCACGTGGCATGCGATGAGACAAATCCATGTAAAGTCTGAGATCAAATCAGAAACTCCTTAACGAGGGCAATTTGATGTCTATCCCACTGGCCCAATGGAACAACACAACAGAATACTGGCAGATAGATGAGAAATCCCGACTATTTTCCTGGACTAGTTAATCCCAGTGGATAGCACAGAGGGTAAGAGGTTACATTACACCCAGGTTGTATACAGAAAATCCCAGGTTTAATCTCTACATATTCTGAGCTGGAAAAAATGCCTGCCTCCACAGAGCACCTGCCAATCAGTATAAATAATACCAGGGGTTTGATGGACCAAAAAGCTCCTAGAAAAGATAGCAGAAATTTTTATAACCCAAAGGAAATATATATCTACAATCTGGGGCTGTCCTGACTGGGAAATGCTAGGACAAGCCAACTTTAATTAGCAGTTAGGTGTTGAACTGGAACTTGGGTAATCCAGGTTCAAATCCCCACTGAAGTAAGTACAGTGGTGCCTCGCATTATGATCGCTTCGTTTAACGACAAAATCGCATTATGATGAACTTTTTGCAATCACTTTTGCCATCGCAAAACGATGTTTCCTATGGGGGAGTTTTGTTTTGCGATGATCGGTTCCCTGCTTTGGGAACCGATCCTTCGCAAAACGACGATTTTCCAACAGCTGATCGGCGGTTTCAAAATGGCCGCCGGGTAAATAAAATGGCTCCCCGCTGTGTTTAGGGACGGATTCCTTGCAAGACAGGCAGCGAAAATGGCTGCCCTATGGAGGATCTTCGCTGGACGGTGAGTTTTAAGCCCATCGGGACGCATTAAACAGGTTTTAATGCGTTTCTATGGGCTTTTTAATTTCGCTTTATGATGTTTTCGTTCTACAGCGATTTTGCTGGAACGAATTAACATTGTAATTGCGAGGCACCACTGTAACTAATCTCCCCATTCTGAAAGCGAAAATATCCTGCTGTTTATATCCAGTAGTAGGCGATGCAGTGCTCCCTGTGACAAACTGATTTATTAAAGCCTGCCAGAAAATATACAATGTATGCCATGGAACAGCCTCACTTTGCCCTGTTTGAAGAAAGGAAGTAGTCTTGCCTTTTAGTTCTTTTTCCTGATGGAGAAGTAAGGAATGTTTCCACCGTGTTCATGTATAAAGAGTCAGGCTCTGGATGGTCCTCTTTCACGCCTAGCAGTGAGCAGAGCTGGCTGTAACTCATGACCTAAAACAAACAATCTCATAAGAGAACGCAGCTGTCACCATATATGCACATTAACACTGCCCTCTGCCGAAAGGATTAGGTCTTTGGTTGTTGTGGGTTTTCCGGGTTGTTTGGCCATGTTCTTGAGGTTTTTCTCTCTAACGTTTCGCCAGTGTCTGTGGCTGGCATCTTCAGAGGACAGGAGTCAGAACAATGATATATTCCGCGGGAATTTTACTAGGTGTGACTGCAAAGTTTCCTCCTTTGACTAAGACCAAGGTTTCTTCCAGGGAGATTTGGCGTTCAGATAGGTTGATAATGATGTGCAAGGCATCTCGTGTAGCAAAATACCTAGACACTCTCCTACAGACCCACATTGGACAAACCTCATCCTACATCAAAAACTCAGGACATTTCATAAGCAAGATCAGCACCCTAAAATTCAACCCTGGGGACAAACTTATCACCTTTGATGTAGTATCCCTATTCACCATGGTACCAATAAAGGACACTCTGACATTCACCCAGCAAATCATTCCAGAAGACATCAAGGCCCTTTTCCAACACTGCTTAATGACCAGCTATTTTCAGTGGGATAACGAGTTCTATGAACAGACAGATGGAGTGGCCATGGGGAGCCTCCTCAGCCCGGTTATAGCAAACCTCTACATGGAGCATTTCGAAAAACAGGCCCTGGCTTCGGCGCCCTTCGCACCCACAGTCTGGTTCCGAAATGTGGATGACACCTTCGCAATTTGGAAAAAAACCATCTACAACAGCATCCACCCAAATATACAATTCGCCATGGAAAAAGAAATAGAGGTAATGGTCATATGCAAAACTTAGATGTAATGGTTATATATATAAATGTGAATTTCGTTGTATGGGTATCCAACTCCCGTTCTTAGATGTAATGGCCGTACGCAAAACTAATCTCCTATTGGGACACAAGGTCTACAGAAAACCCACCCACACAAAAACTCCAACCACCACCCACAGCAAAAAAGAGGCATAATCAAAACACTGGTAGACCGTGCAAATCGGAACTGTGAAGCTCAATTTCTCAGCACCGAACTCAACCATCTGAATTGGGCCCTACAGGCAAATGGCTACTCCAAAAATGAAATCAAAAGAGCCATCAAACCAAGAAAACAACACCAAACTGAAGAGGAGAAACAGCCACCCACAAATAAAGTATTTCTGCCATACCGCAAAATGCAGCATTCACACAAGAATCAAAGAACATGAGAGACACTGCAGACTAAAACAACTGGGAAAATTGGCAGTAGCTGAACATGCCTTAAAACAAGATGGACATGAAATTCTATTTCAAAAAAAGAAGTACTCGGCAACACCAGCAATCATTATGTTAGACTGCACAGGGAAGCCATTGAAATCCACAAACACCAGCAGAGCTTCAACAAAAAGAAGAAAGTTTAAAACTCAACAAAGCCTGGCTGCTAGCACTGAAAAATGCAGCCTGTAAAAGATCAATGAACTCTACCCAGCTACAAGGACTGGTGATCACTGCACACAAAAAACCAGCTAATGACACCCATCAATCAGAGTGACAGATAATTTCTCCCCCTTATCACAACAATACACCCACAACAAAAAACATACAGATTACCACAATCACCCATCTCCTAAAAAGGACAAAAGCTAATCTCACAGCTATAAATCATCAACTGTCCAAACAAACTGCAGAAGAGCAGAGACAGAGTTCTGACTCCTGTCCTCTGAAGATGCCGGCCGCAGAGACTGGCAAACCGTTAGGAAGAACAACCTTCAGAACCCAGCCAAAGAGCCCGAAAAATCCACAACAACCATCAGATCCTGGCCGGGAAAGCCTTCGAGAATTTATTTATTTATTTATTTATTTATTTATTTATTTA